AGAGCTGATCCCTTCGTCCCCAGGCTGCTGTCATGGAGCTTGTGCCCAGAGACAGGGAGAGGGGCCTCCAGACGCCAGTGTCTTCAAGGCCAGCTGCTCGGTGAACTTGCGGCCCCCGCTGGGAACGGGGTCGGGACCTCTGCACCTGCTTGGAGACCTGGGATGAGGAAAGACGGGCCCCAAACTCCACCGCAGAGTTGTGTGAGTGCATACTCACCGCAGTGGAAGAGTGACCTCGGGGTGGGGCCTGGCCTTTCTGCCTGGGGGCCCTCACCCATCCCAGGCCCTCATCTTGTGGTCAGAGGCCTGGCCCGATTCTGTGTGTCACCCCCACCCCTGCAAGGGGACAACCCTGTCCTCCTGGGACCATTCACACTAGCAGATCTTTGGCAGCACCCACCTGAGGAGAGGATACCTGCGCCCCCCACCTTGGACAGCAGCTCCCCCACCTCACCCCCTGGGGCAGCTCAGAGGGATCGGCGCAGGAGCCTCAGGCTGACCAGCCACCAAGCACAGCAGGCACTCCACCACCACAGCCACCCGGGGCCCTGCCTGGCCAGTCCCTGGGACTCCAGCCAGGCGATCCAGAGAAACGGAGCACAGAGAGGCGGTGCTTCCTGATGTCCTGCCACTTGCTGGGCCCATCAGGGCTTCTGGGCAGGGTTCCTCAACCACACCGCTTTAGCTACCAGGGCCTCCCGCTCATAAAAGGGTTTGAGTTTTATGAGCGGGCCGGAAGGCTTTTGCTGTTGTAGCAGTGGGATGAGTCCTGGCTGAGTCCACTGGCTCCTGGTGGTTTGACAGAGTCCTACTGGGTCTGGGGTGAGTGTGGGGCCTTCCCCCTCCCCACTCCAGAGCTCCCCTCTGCTCAGTTCCTGCCCCACTGAGACTTGATGTCCCACAAGGAATGGGAGAGCTGAGGGATTTGCCTGAGGGATGGTCCCTGGACCTGCCCATCAGTGGGACGAAGTGTCCCAGCTCGGTGCTCAGCTCAGCTCCTTATGCCAGGAGACAGCCCTCTACAGAACCGTCATCCTCAAGAAGGGGTGCTGGCCCCAAAGCCCATCTCTAGGTGAAGAATCAGGACCCTGAGCCCCACAATGCCACCAGCAGGTCCTGCCTCTCCCCCGGCAGCACCTAGGGCTCGGGGACCCGTGAGTCTTGAGGGGGCCTGCTGACTGGGGCTGGGACCCCCATCTGTGAAAATGATGAAGAGTGGTTACTTGTCAACATTCAGCTGGAGGCTTTACACAACAGCCCCATTCTCACAAAGGCTTCAGCTGAGCCCAGGGAGGCTGCTGGCTCCTCAGAGGGTAGCCCCCACCTGCCCTGGATGGGTCCTCAGGCGGGAGGTGAGTGCAGAGGCTGCCCAGGTGGCTCTGAGTGGGGCAGGGGCTTCTGCACCAGCCCCGTGCCCCACCTCCCCACCCCCCCACCCCCCACAGACACTGAGGTGGCCCTGGAAGAGGGGACCAGGGTCATTCCTTCAACCCCAAAGGCAGAAAGACAGGGGCAGGGGCTGGTGTGAGGAATGTGGGAGGTGACAGGTGAGATGTCATGAACGCCTTATCTATGCCAGGCACTGGGCGGGCACTCCAAGAATGACAGGCTTGCCCCAGGAGAACTGACAGCTCAGGTGCTTTAGACACTGAAGCTCCAGGAGGAGGTCCTCCTCTGGGTGGGTGGGGGCCAAACCCAGCAATGCCTCAACCCGGGTGCCCAAACAGGGCAGGAGGGACAGTCCGAGTGTGACCGAGGTCCTGCCTGAGAGCCTGGATATCCCCAGGTCGAGGTGCCAGCGAGTTCCGCTGGCTGGGGTGTCCGCCCCCTGCAGTGAGGTGGTATGCGTGTGTGACATACATATGTACAAGTGTGTGAGCGGCGGGGGGAGGGGGGTAGGCTGTGGGGCCCGGCTCAGCGAGTGGGAGGGGGTGCGGGCAGGCGACAGGTCCCGGGCTCCCCTCCCCCAGCCTGAGTCTCCCCGGCAACAGCAGCCTCGGTCTGGGGCTCGGCCCCTCCCCCGCCCCGCCCCGGCTGCGGCTGCGAAGCGTCTGGAACCGCAACCTTCCTCCGCATCCTGGTCTGGGGGACCTCATCCTGCCGCAGCTGCCCGTTGGAACCGCCCGTGAGCCGTCTCTACATTTCTTCCCGTGGAGTGGGGTGAGGGGAGCCGAGTGTGTGCAGGGCTGTGCGGGTGCGAGTGTAGGGGTGGGAGAGTGTATGTGGGGGAAGCACTGCGGCTGACCGATGGCGGCCAGGCCGAACCCTCCCTTGGGGCCTGCGCTGACCCAAGCCGGGGTATTGTCCCCAGGCCTCCGGGACGATCGGGGGCCTCCGCGGGGAGAGCCGCTGCCTGGACTTCCAGACCGGCCGCGGTGTCCAGTCTTACACAGACCTGACGTGCTGCCCGGATCCCCTGTCCTCAGCAGAGCTGGGCCGCTTGGGTGGGGGTAGGACTGCTGGATATCAGCCCCCGGCCACTGTGACTGCAGCCCCCTCCCGTGAGCCCGCTCCACCCCTGCAGATCTGAGAAAGCCATGGGAGCTGGGCGCCCCGAGATGGGGAGGGGGTGCCAGTTCTAGGACCCCAGCTCTCTGTGTGTTTGGGGACGGGAGTAGGGTGATGGGAGAAGGGGTTGGCAGAAGGGGCGTCGGATGCACCAGAGCATGGAGAAATGATGCTGGCAACCGGAGGGGGGTGGGGGCGGCTGCGTGACAGGCTGGAGGCGGCCAGGAGGCAGGGAGAG